GCTGGTCGTAACCCGAAAAGTTCGTTAACAGAGGCGTTCGTAATCCGAGGTTCCACTGTACATGTCAAATATTACAAATCCAGCCAAAAAGATAAAAGCCACAAGTCCAAAATATAATCGATGTACTCTTGCAATACTCTTAACTTAATTACTACTCTCAGCCATTTTTCTGAAATTTGTAGAGTACATGGAAGTAAAGACTAACTGAATGACCTAGCTTGGCCCAACAGGCTAAGATGCAAAACAAGGTTAGAATAGCGCATTAGTGTTTTTCCTAGGCCTTTTACCTAAGAGATTAAGTATGTTGTGTGGAAAAGGGGGAAGAGAAGAGAAGTGAAAGGCAGACAGATTTGCAGAAATGAAGGAAAAAGTGAAGAAAATTCTCTTATTTATACCTCTAGCTCAATTGAGTTGGGTTGAGTTGAGTTAGACTCAGAAAGGTGGTCCTCTCCAGCCCTTACCTGCTACTAGTCGGCTACTGAGAAGCATCCATTTGGAGCCACCAACAAAGTACATGAAGTTTCCTGAAACCAAGGATAATGATAAGAAAGACTAGAACCAAGGAGGCTTGGTGGAGCTCAGCCACACATCACAGGACCAGAGCCCAGCTGGAAGGGGGCTATCCATGGCACCACATAGGTTTGTGGGCACCCAGTGCTAAATCGTCCATGGACAGCATGATGGTGGGTGAGGTTTTGTGCATAGCAGAACAGCTCCCTCACTGTGATCAGAGGAAAAAATGGGTTATAGGAAAGATGATGCCAAGGCTCCTAAACCTGGAAGGAGTGACTATCTCACTATTGGAATAAATTTCCTGAGGGTAAGATCTGTACAACAGTGGAACAATCTACCTATGGAGATTGTGGGTTCTCCACTTCTGGGGGCTTCCAAGAAGAGATGGACAGCCACCTCTCATGGATGGTTTCGCTGGTTTTCCTGCACATTGCAGAAGGATGGACTAGATGATCCTTGCAACTCTACAGTTCTATGGTTCTGTGATTAGATGTCTGGTCAGAAAGGAGAGCGCCTGTATCTGTACCTGAAAGATATATGCGTGGAGAAGTGGTTCCATGGATTACCTTCTCATACAGAACGTGTTCAACAAATTTGTATCATGAATATTACACAAAATAAACATAACACTTGGTTTTTCCAGCTCCTTTTTTCAGAGTCCCTGAAATCTTCTCAGTCCTGCCACTATCGGTGGGAGAGTAGGGGAAATGATGCAGGCAGGTGAAAGTAAGGCAGGTTTAACACAGCTATTTCGCTAATCCCTCTACTTCCCAACTTGCAAAAAAAGGCAGAAAGGAGGCTGAAATATCCATCACTATCTTCTTTCCTGAGAGAAGGTCATCACAACTATGCTTTGACCACAATCAGGGAGGCTGGCCATAAAAAATTTCCCACCCCATGCAGGAAATGGACAAGTTCTTCCTATGTTGATGATGAGGAATCCGACAAGAACACTGGGATTAAAAAAAACAACTTTATGCCCAACCCTTAGGTGGTTGTCATGCTATGAATTCTTTTCCTACTGTTTTCATCATGGCTTGACTTCTATAAATGTGTTTTGATGGTGAACCACTTTCAAAAATGGTATGAAAATGCAATATACTTGTAAGTTCAAAGGCAATAAATAACTTAAGCAAGTAGACACAAATGCTGAATCTTTTCCCTTCCTCACCTCTCATCCATTCTTAATCGCCAGATCGGAACTGTTCTTTACAGAAATGCAGCTGGCTAAAGCAAAGGGCCTACTATCTTCATCTCAGTTTCTAAGCTATACCCACATTTTTCACATCACTTTCATGAAAAAAATTCCCTACTTGCATCTACCTTGTTGCAAACATGTGCCGGCAACCACTTAATTAACTTAACTATGTTAACTTAATTAACATAATGCCACTGGAATTTCTCAACCTTGATAGCTTTAACACAGGTGGACTTCAACTCCCAGAATTCCCCAGCCAGCATAGCTGGCTGAGGAATTCTGGGAGTTG